TCTCTACCCATTAACACCATCTCTCCCCATTCCCCCCCCCCCCCTCCGCCGCCAGGCTTGGCAATCATCATTCTATATTCTGTTTGTATAGATTTGACTAGGCTAGGTACTTCATGTAAGTGGAATTATACAATATTTGTCCTTTTTTATCTGGCTTATTTCATTTAGCATAATGTTTTAAAGGTTCATTCATGTTGTAGCATGTGCCAATTTCCTTCCTTTCTAAGGCTGAATAATATTCCATTGTAGTACATACCACATTTTGTTTATCTACTCATTCATGGATGCACATTGAGTTGCTTCCTCCTTTTGGTCATTGTGAACAATGCTGCTGTGAATACGAGTGCAAATATCTCTTCCAGACTGTGCTTTCAATCTTTATAGCCAGAAGAAGGGTATGGGGTTTCATTCCGCGATAATGAAAACATTCTGAAATTGATTATAGTGATGGTTACACAACTCTGAATATACTAAGTCATTGAACTGTACACTTTAAAAGGTGAATTGCATGGTATGTGAATTATACCCCACTAAAGCTGTTACAAAAGAAAAATAAAACAAAACAAAAACCACTATTTGGCCTATTCTCTGAGGGCATAAAGTCTGTCAGTGAGCTAGGGGAAATGTCTGGAGTTCTGCAAAGTGTGATGGGAAATTGGTTTGACTATGTAATTCATTCTCCTGAAATTGAATTTTGCTATTAAACTCAAGAAGAAAATTTTATCACACTAAGATTCGGCAAGCTGCTCTCAAAATATACAAATAATATACAGTTCTTTATGTGGGAAAAACGTAGAGTGTGATGCTGTGACAGAAGGGACCTTATTTACCCGGATTCCCTGAAGATGCTACAGCTGTTTGAGGTAAATGTGTGTGATCCTAAAGCCAAGGGTCTCTTCATCTGGCCCCAGAAAACTCTGAGGTTCTTTCTATTTCCCTGTAGCTCCTCTCCTGGCTTTTTAATTTTTTCTTTTCTTTGTCAGAGAACATAAAAATACTAGGAGGGACGTGAGAAGAAAAGGGAAGAGTAATTTTAAAAAACCAAAAGAAACCATCATATGAAAATTGCTCAAGAAGTCATCAGTCTTTACAGAAACCCATAATGTGATTTAACAAATCTGTGTAGGAGAGTCCTCGTGGAGGCTGTTTTTCTAAAGGTTTCACAACTTGGCATTAAATTCCTGGCATTTTCCACTGTTTGCTCCAGCAGAAAAAATGTGAGCACCCCCTGCTGGTCCCTTATGACAAACTCAGCAAACCACCAAGAACTGAACAAAATTCATGGGAGTTTTTGTGTCACTTTAAAAGTCTGAGAGGCTATGGACACAATGTGGTGATTTCTGGGGGAAAGGGTTTTGGAGAAGGTGGAGGAGAGTATGGAGGGATAAATGATGATGAGTCAAGACCTGATTTGGGGTAGTGAACACACAATACAGTGCACAGATGATGTGTTGCAGAATTGTGCACCTGAAACCTGCATAATTTTGTTAACCAGTGTCACCCCAGTAAACTTAATAAAAAGGGAAAAGGCATAAAAGAACTATGGGAGCCAAAAACAAGCAAACAAAAAACAAAACAAAACAAAAAAAACCCTGAAAGGCTGGCAGGACTCTTAGGTATTTACAATGATCAAATTTTAATTTCTTTCTTTTTTAAAAATTTAAATGTCTTGAGGTGACATTGGTTAATATAATCATACAGGTTTCAGGTGTGGCTTTCTGTTACAGGATCTGAATATTGCACCGTGTGCCCACCACCCAAAGTCAAATTTTCCATCACCATTTATTAGGACCCCCTTCATTCCCTACCCTCTTCCCTCTGGCAACCACCACACTGCAATGACCAGATTTTATATTTTATTGATTTTTTACAGAGAGGAAGGGAGAGGGATAGAGAGTTAGAGACATTGATAAGAGAGAAACATTGATCGGCTGCCTCCTGTACACTCCCTACTGGGGATGTGCCCGCAACCAAGGTACATGCCCTTGACCGGAATCGAACTTGGGACCCTTGAGTCCGCAAGCCGATGCTCTATCCACTGATCCAAACCGGTTAGGGCGCAATGACCAGATTTTAAAGCTGACAGGCAGCCCCAGGCTTTAAAACACCCAGGCTGGTTGCCCAGCCACTGTCGACTTACGCTGACAGCCCAGAGGGTCAGTGGCACTCAGTCCGTAGTGGTTGGGCTTGCACTGGTCGCACTTGGCTCCTTCCACATTCTCCTTGCACAGGCACTGGCCAGCCACAGATCCCAGGGCAGGATCAGAGTGGCTCTCACAAATGCCACCCGATATGGTCCCATCGGGGTCACATTCACAAGCTGGGGACACAGACATGCATTATCTTAGTTAACGGCAAATTGTGGGAAGCCTGAAACGTAAGCATAGCATTTTACTCATGATATAACTATTTTACTTTTTTAAAAGTCATTACATATGTTTAAATAATTAGACAAGTGGATAAGGGCTGCTCAGAAATATCTCTTAGATCTCTGGTCTTGGAAAATGTTGAAAAATTCCATACATTAAAAAAAAAAAGACTTTTAAGTGATTCTAAAGTAAGAGGACCAGAGGAGGATGGCTATTGTGAGAACTGAACATTAAAAATAGATTGATTCCTTTGGGGGTCTTAAAATGTTTTGGAGCAGAGGTGGTGGTTGTACAATACTGTGCCACTGAATTGCTCCTGGGAGGAGCACCTACGAGAAACAAAGGGGCAAGAGCAAGAAATGTTCATATCCTGTTTTCTTTTGGGATGCCTGCTAGTGGGGCAAAACCTGGAAGAGATTCTGGAAAATGAGATAAACCGTCACCTGTAGCGAAGGAGCAACTAATGTACAACTTCCCCTTCCTGCTTTCTTCTGCAGACAGTTGAACAACTGAAGGAAGGAATGTCACAGGATAAAGGATGCTGATAGTGTGAATGATTCCAGAGGGTGGAAGTTACAAAAGGGAGAACCTAACTGAGTATAAGGAAGAACTCTCTAATGGTTAGGCCTGCCCGAGAGAGCAGTGACCCCTCCATCAGCAGAGGGGTCCAGGCAGAGGTGTTTGGTTTAGAGGACAGATGACCACCATCCTCTCTTGTATCTTTGTGGTGCTGTGTTTTCAAGGAATTCCACTTTTAAGGAATGCAAAAAACAATTTTAAATAAATATCTTGATTCTAAGGACCAATTCTATTCACATTTATACATGTTTGCTTTAGATTAATAAAAATAACACCCCCAGGTCTAAGGCTATGTTTACATAACTACCATTTAGGTTATAGTGATAAAATCTAGTCAAACCCATTGCTTGGCGTCATTGAAGCAATCACTTGGTTGTCTGACAGAATCTTTGGATTTCAATTGTTTGCCATTGGATTGTGACTGGTGAGAAAATCTTACTATGGAAAAACAGCATTGGGTTCTGTTTAGTTTGGAAAGACCACAATTCTTTTGTAATTAAAGCCAGTTGCCTCTAGAAAGGAAGGAACAAACTGGATTCATTTTAGAAGTAGCCAAAAGGAAGAGACTCGGCTTTATTTGGGAGACTCTCCAAAGGGTCAGCGCTGATTGCAGAGTATAATTTAATTATGTGCAGAAGCATCCGTTGGGGGATGTGTGTGAGAGGGTAGTAACTTTACTTTGAAATAACCCTATTTCAGGGCCCTTAAAATAGAATTTCCATAAAACCTCTTGGTGTCACACAACTTAATTCTAACAAACTTTTATTATCAGTGGCTGAGTCTACCAAATCTTGTGTGTGTGTGTGTGTGTGTGTGTGTGTGTGTTTTTCCTGTATCACATTTGACTGTGTTTTAATCATGGAAGACTTAAAATTAGTCAACTCTTATGCGTGGAGTCAGATTATGTAAATATTTAGAGTCAAACAAAAACAACTTAGAGAAAATTTATATGAGATTGCTGCTAGTCGGTCTTAAAACAGGTCATTTGTACAGACACACACGCACACACATAAACATGTGTTTAGGTAAAGTGGGAGAAGCTGGGAGTCTCGTGATGGTAGTTTTTACAAGCTCCTCATCTGCCTTTCCTCGAGAAACAACTTATTTACGAAGCATGGCTTTTTAATTTCATATCAGGGGGACTCGTTTTCTTCCCTCGGTTTCCTTCAAAAGCACCATCTAGTTGATCGTGGTTCTGAAGGAACAAGACTTTGTTCAATGTGTTCAAAACACTTGGTTTAGTTATTTCCAATCTCTTTCCATACTCTTGGATTACCTGTTTCAAATCATTATATTTTACTGATTGTACCTAGGAGAGCAATTTCATTTTCTTTTAAGTTGTGTGTGTGTGTGTGTGTGTGTGTAATTACAGATTCTGGTAAGAAAATGTAGGATACTTAGGACAGTGATTTCCTACTGTACAAACAGGCCATGTAAGGTAAAATTTCATGCAGTTAGGTACCTACTAAGTAATCTGAGAAAAAAACATCATGTCTGCTTTTTATACATTGAGATGGTTTAAAGTTTGAAATCTAGAATATTGTATGTGTTCAGGTAGCTACTGAATTACTTTTGTGTAAGACTTCATTTTATGTATTGTGATTAATAAAGTTTGAAATTGTAGTTTCATAGCAAGTCCCCCATCCAATGTAACATCCTATTGATGATAGAGCCTAAGAAGCAGGATTTCTGGGTACTGGGCACCTGAACGTTTTTGCTGAGTGTGCCAACAACGCAAGGCCAGACTGCTCTTCATCCAGGCCATAGCTCAAGATTGTGTTTGCAGCCAGCTACCTTGAGGAACGAGGAAACCGTTCCTCCCAGACAAAGAACGAGCTTGCTTCCACTGCTACAAAAGCAATGAATCCTCTTCCAGTGTTCCTTGGCTATGAGGTAAACCCATTAGGTATACAGGAACCATCTGGTATCCTTTGAATTGCCCCATGGGAGTTGGGGCTTGGGGACTTGGGAACTCAGACCAACACAAGCATCTTGTTGCTTGCTGTGCTGTGAGTAATAAAGTCCTTGTCTTTGACCCAGGAGTTTCATGTCCTCCACCAGCATCCATGAAATAATAGTGGGCTAACTTGTTAGCTTACAGTAGAGTTATCTGCAACTGGCACTGTGTGTTTGAAATCAGGTTGGAGTATTTATCTATGCAACAATTGAGAGCAGTGCTGGGATTAGAGAGGGGAAAGCAAGGTGCCCAGGGCACAACATTTAAGGAGGCACTCACTGTCAGGTTAGTGCAAGTGGCAACCCTATGCTTACATGACTCTGAGAATGGTGCTTCCTTAAATTTGGGGGCCTAGGTGCTTTGTTTGCATCACTCTGGTCTCATTCCTGCAAGGAAATGTACATTAAAGTACTGGTGAGATACTATTGGAGTAGCAAAAATTAAAGTGTGATCAAACCAAGTGTTGGCCAGAATATAGAACGACATGCACACTCATACACGGTTGGTTGGGCTGTTAATTGGTATACCCGCTTAGGGGACAATCAGCATTATCTATTTAATTTGAAAAACTTCATATTATGTCCAAGTAATTCCACTCCTGGGTATGACTCTCAGGGACAGTCTTTGTGCATGTGCACAAGGCCACGTATATGGTTATTGTAGCATCAGAAGAAAAATGGACAAATAGATTTTGTTGCATTTATAGGAAGGAAGGAATTAAAATTGGAAAACTAGGGCCACCTGATAAGGAAAAATCTTAAACATATAGTGTTTAATGAAATACTCAAGGATACACACAACATATCATTTATCTAAAGTTTGAAAATATGCCAATATATATATTGTTTGTAGATAAAACATATGTGAAAATAGTATGGTGATAGCTACCAAACATAGTGGGACAGATGTGCACCTAGGACATCACAGGAACCTGTCCTGTTTTATTAAAGTCTTGAAGATGATAGGGTAAGGCATTCTGTTTTGACAAAGCTGGTGGTGGTTATAAGGGTGTTTACTATATTATTCTGTATATGCTTGAAATATTTTATTTTTAAAAGTTGAGATTAGAAATAAAAGGAAAAAAATGTTAAGGTTAAAAAAAGAAGCAAGGTAATAATAGTTAGCTCATGCATCTTAACAACATAGTTGAATGGCCTACAGCAGTCAAATGTAGCTAATGTCAGTAGCCAGCTGTGTCTAGGCATCCTCTGAAACCCTCTGCCCCCTCCTGGTTGAATCCAGAATAGTTTCCTGATTCTCTAGTATAAGCCACTGCTGCAAGACTACCACGAGGGACCCCAGTTATCTGGCCCAATTTTCGAAGAGAAAGAAACGCTCTTAGAGTTAAAGTGGTTTTGCAAACTCGCACTGCCCCTAAGAGGGCCGTTTGGAGGTGCTGCTGAGCCAAATGAGACCTGCTCCATCAGCATTTGCTCAGACCAGTGGGAAGGGTGCGGTCAGAGGCTGGGGACTCACGAAGGCACGCGTACGGGTCCGAGACGGCCTTGAGGGGGTCCCTGTAGAAAAGGGGCCTGCAGCGATGGCAGTGCTGGCCCTCGGTGTTGTGCTGGCAGTCCTCGCACACGCCCCCGCTGACCCCGCCGCTCGCCAGGTACACGCTCATGTCGAAGTGACAGCGGTCCGAGTGGCCGTTACAGCTACAAGCTGGGGAAGGAGAGAGTCACCGTGAGGCTCACCGGGTCTGGGGAGCAGCCTGGCCGGCATCCCACACAGGAACCCTGCATCCCCCCCTCCTCTTTCTTCAGCCTCCACCTTCTTTTATGGACACACGCATACAAACAGTTAAACTAGGTGCTTTCAAAGGTCTTTCAGGACTCTTATTCTGCCCATATACTCTGTCTGAAATGTGTCCCCAAAACGTTTAATATTTAGGGGTGTGTGTGTGTGTGTGTGTGTGTGTGTTTTGTTGTTGTTTTAAATCAAGTAAACAAAAGTAAATCCTTTGGGTGATCCAGAAGCCCGAAAGTGCAATACTCTTATTGTTGTTTGGTAAAGAATACTTTTACTTTGTAAGTTTCTAAGTTTGAATTTTCTACATCGCACGTTCTGTAGGCCCTGGGCTTCTCAGGGAAGATGTTAAAACTGAGCCTCGCCGCCTCTCCTTCTCCGGGGGCCGGAGGCTGGGAGGGTGGCAGGGCCTTTCACCCACCTGGGGCGGCGCCAGGCGACAGGGAAAGGCAGTCTGCTTGGGGGAATTTGTCTTTGTGGCAGTGTCTGTGCTGTTCGTGTTTGTTTTCCCCCCATAAATGGCACAAACATGTGCTGGGCCATGTATACGTGACGCCCGGATGGGGCTTTTCCACGAGCTCTCCTCGTGACCTCTTCCCGCTCAATCTTATTTCCCCCAAATCTGGGAACAGAAGCAATAACAAGTTCGTTCGGAAGTTTATCAACATGTAGAGGCAGCAAGTACATAACAAAAAAACCTGCACTTTATTAGCCTAAACATTTTATAAAATGTATAATAACCAGTCAAACTCAACCTAGACCTCATTTCTCCTATTATCTGACATCTGAGTTTAAGGTCACATTCATGGAATGTCTGGTGATTCAGGACAATAGTAGGGATCTTGGTACTGAATCTAGTCCTCACCCAATTCCTGGATTGGTACCATCCCCACTGATATTACATGGCTCGGTCCCTCCCCTGGAAAGGGCTCACCCAACAATCGCATTGTTTCATTTTTCAAATTCATGTTAGTTTTTGGTGTGAAGGTTTGATACGGTGGTGATTTTTCCAGGGGAGATAATGGGAGACATCAGCAGATTATGCAGTTGGAGCTGGGAGCCCCGGTTCACCACCTTCATTGCCGCAGGCCAAACGAACAAAAAAAAAGTCCTCAGTCTGTGCTGAGGACTCTTCCCCACTCACCTCTGCAAGTGCTGTCCTGGGGGCCCGTGGCTGGCCTCCAAGGCGCATCCTGGAAGAAGTCCTGGCACCGCTCGCAGTTCGTGCCACCTGTATTGTGCTGGCAGACACACCGGCCATGGACCTGCATTGTGTGACAAGCAAGCAGTGTGAAAGGAGGGCTCATCTTTGAGGATGCTGCAGTTCTTTATTATTATTTTTTAAATATACTTTTATTGATTTCAGAGAGGAAGGGAGAAGGAGCGAGATAGAAACATCAATGATGAGAGAGAATCATTAATCAGCTGCCTCCTGCCTGCCCCACACTATGGATCGAGCCTATAACACGGCCATGTGCCCTGACTGGGAATCAAACCATGACCTTCAGGTTCATAGGTTGATGCTTAACCACTGAGCCACACTGGTCAGGCAATATTGCAGTTCTTTAAATGAAATACCAGGCCACGGGCCTCTTTGAATTTTATTTTCCCATATGATAGTTACAATACCAACCTATACTATCTTTTTTAATTTAGATGCAATAGCTTTTACAATTAAAAAATTTAAGATGTTTGGTAAACATTTACAATAAATTTTTTGGTATTTCTGAATGCTAGTGTCAGGGCAGCACATTGCAGCCCTCAGCAAGATGAGGGGTAGGATGATGTGTGTAGTGTGTGTGTGTGTACATGTGCGTGTGTGTGTGTGTGTGTGTACACGTGCGTGTGTGTCCAGGGTGGTTTAGAAGCATAAGGGAAAAGAGGAAATTAGAAAACAGAAAGAAACTGGAGAAAGGTGTGTGATTCTCCATAAAATGCCCTAAATGACCAAGTTCAAAGGGAGAAGTTCTATTTCCACTGAAACATGGAGAGAGCTGAGTAAGAAGGTACAATAGCCTCAGCCTCAAGCCTTGTCTGATGCCTGTCTGGTTATGATTAGTTTAAATTATTTAGTAGATTCACCCCCAGGACTCTGCATGACAATACAATTCTTCTACTACATCACTCCCTCAGACTAGTCCCAAGAAGGGGAGAGATTGGCACTGTGAGGACACAGTCATCATAGTGTAAGGTTGCTACTTGGGGTGACCACCCTTACAATAGCAGCTATTATTCAAACACCACGGCACTGACTACAGTAGACCATCAATAAGTTTGTGTGAGGGAACACATGTGAACTTAAGGGTCCTCCTCACCAAATCTCCATTCCCTAAAAAAAAAACAAATAGCAAAGAGAGAGCAAGATGAGCTACCTTAAAGTCACAGTTAGACATTCTGGTCATGAGTTCAACAATGCCCGTGAGTGGCAGAATCCACAAGGCTTTGCCAGGCCAGGCTGAACCAGACCTGCCCCGACACAGGCTGGCACTGTGTGGATCCCCAGGTGGAAAGTCCGATCTACATGGAGCACCGGGACAGGACAGAAGGGTAGGGGAGCCAGCTGGTCTCCTGGCTGCGTGACTCACCATTCCCGGAGGGCTGAACACATCTCCGGGCACCGTCTGCATCGGGCCGCATTCGCTAGCATGGCCATGGCAGAAGCAGCTGCCCCGGACCACCATCTCGTAGAGAGCATAGTAGTACTTATCAAGGGAGTCATTGTGCCTCCTTCCAAGCAAAGTATCCCCAAGGGTGTGGAGCTTGGTGAAGTTTATCCTCAGGTTTGTTAATGTAACAAGGTCTAGAGAAAGGAAAATCATAATAAAAACAACGCGAACCAAAGTGCATTGAGGTTGTATCGGTTCAAGGCGCCCTTCTTGACTGACATCCCCTTAATGTCCTCTAGAAATGTAATGACAAGGACACTTCTAACATGAGATTTTTAGAAAAGTAATGGATGTGAAAAATATAAAGCAATTCATACCCTGGATGTGGGGGCTGTAGGGGTTTTCTATTTCAAAGCTGGGATCCAAAGCTTTAAAAACAACCTGTAAAACAAATGTAGGCAAAGATAAGTATTTCGCCCAAGAACTTGATTGTTAAAGGGTATACTCTTATATAAGAGATCCTGATCTTACCCGCAGGCCGAGCCATTGCCTCCCAACTAGCACAGGATACAGGCTATCATTGGGTTTTCATATGAATATGTAAAAGTACCAGGAAGGAAAAGGAAAGTTACAAACAGTCGTCGGTGGAGCCTTTGTGACCATTCGCAAGAAGGGCTCCTGTTCTGGGTTGGGGTGGAGTGACGGGGTCACAGCTCAGCAAGTCATGACCAATTTGGATTTGGCAGGGAATTCTGGAGCGACCGCCGACCACCAATTCTTTCTACGACACCTGATACATAATACCTGCCAACCCCACTCCCACCCTGACCCTCTGCCAGTTACCAGCGTTGTTCAGGGGGAGATTCCTGGCAGATTCCACCTGAGTGGTGGTTTGTAGATCAAGGAGATGAGATGAGACAACTAGTCCAGGGCTGCACTCGCCTACACGCTCCCTTGCAAGGGTTCGAAACAGATGCTCCTCCCTCTGAATCCCCCAGGCCCTGGTGCCCAGCCTGGATTGACTCCCCACTCACCTTCAGCTGGACACTGTGCAGGACTGTTTCTTAGAAGGTATTTATTATTTATCTGAATGTGAGATGGATTCAGGACTCATTTCAATTTAAACTGTTATTCTTAAAACCCAACAGCTCAAGTTGTTTTTCAGCAAGCACTGCTTTCATCTAAATCAACCACATTCACACCAACCACAACAGGCTTAATTTACAGCAAAGGAATCCAAGAAAGGAAATGCTACCTCACCGCCAGTTGAGGGTTCAATATCCGAATATTTAGAGTCACAAACAAGGTCTCCCACGCCCTGGGCCTGGCCAGATGTGATGCTGGGAAAGGAAGTAGCACAGTCTTTTGCAAAATATTTAAACACTTTCCAGGTGTGTCCATAGTCTGTGGAACGTTCAACTAACATTGCAGCAGGCCGAAAAGTCTATGGAAAAACGAGTTAAACTTGTAATACTTCACAAAGGGAGATTAATTACCGCTTCACAGTAAACATTTATATTTTCTAATTCTGTTTTCAAACTTTATTTGTATCCCTTAAAATCTCTATACAGTGAACATACCAAATCTCTTTCCAAAAGTGGGCAAGTATTTATGAGCACATATTTTGCCCTAAGATCTAATTCCATTTAAAAGTGTTTATGGCCATGTGATTTATTAATTGGAGAAAGATGGCATATTAATTTTTAAAAAGCTAATGTAATGGATATTTTATACAGCATTTTGCATGGTTTTTTCTCTTCTTTTTTGGGGGGAAAGGGGGTGGCTAGGATGCTTTTCCCCTGGCAAACCCTTATATCCTTGAAAATCTACCATGAAGCTTATCTGGGCTCCCCAGAGCAGATTTACTGTTGTCAATGAACTACCCACCATTCTAATATGTCTATGCACTTATCACCCCGTATTATGATTTTAAATTTATATATGTGCTTTATATATAAATATATAAATTTGTATCCATGACTAGATTGTGAGCTCTTTGGGGGCAAAGGCTAATGTTTTTTTTTAAACAAATTTTTATTTTATATTCATTTTTTTATAACAACTTAGCACCAGGCCTGACATCAAAATTCGAATTTTGATGCATGATTAGAGAATGACTATAGCACAGGATTTTCTCTGGCACCTCAGCAACCTTAACAAAGACCCTTTAATTTTTCTTCCTTTTTTGATCACAATCTTTCCGTATTTCCTTAAGTAATTTCCAGTTCTTGCCCTTTTTGCCTGAAAGTACCTTTCTTGTTCTGTGTTCTCTATCCCCTAGTGCTTGACATTTTTCTTCGTGCTATATCTTCTAAGACTTTTTTTGTTGTCGTTGACCATGTAAGTTACTAATTAATGAGCAGTGGCATTTTGATTCAATTCAAGAACAAAAACCCCAATGACAAAGCTGGAGTCTGGGGATACACAGCTTTTTGTGCTCTGCAAGGAAGTAGGGAAGCAAACTTTCAGGTAAGCCCAGCATTGGGTAAGTAGATACAAGGGGCAGCAGACCTACACATCTGTACCTTAAAGGTCAGGATCAGGTGGCTGAACTGAAACAATGCCTCTAGGTCCAATCTGATGCTGACATGATCAAGACCTAAAGAAAAATCCAGAAAGGAGAAAATCAGTGATTTTGAGAGACCCCTGTTTATCATGTTAACCCCTCACTGTGGCTTGTCTATAATAAAACCCTTTGAAAGCCTATGATTGGTTATCAACACTCTTTCCTAGTCTGTTGGAGTGGTTTCCATGCCATTCCATGCCCACATCCATGCCCATGGCCACCGTGTGGCAGTATTACATACCACCAAAGGAGTTACGGGACCGTTCCCATAGGTGAAACAATGGCATACCACCAAAGGAGTTCCGGGACAGTTCCCATAGGTGGAACAACGGGGCTCACGCCCTTGAACTCACATCTTGACTACACACAGGTGTGAGCTAGCAAGCCAGGGCATGGTACAATCGACACACCCTATCCTTCCAACAGCTGCTAACAATCATTTGCCCCAGTTTTATTGTCAGTCAGCATAAAACACAGCTTAGAGCCTTCCTTTGGGGTGAGGATCTGTGGGCTCCTCTGGGGCTGAGAAGACGGAGCTGTCCTGGTCAGGACTTTGCACGGAGGCTATTCGCTGCCATCACCTCATCATGGACACAGAGGACTGGCCCTAATCTGGACCCCATGGAAGCTCTGATCTGGCTGAAGTGCGCCGTCCAACAGAAATATGAGTTGCTGGTGTCATTTAAATTTTTCTGGCAGCCACACTTCAGCAGGTGCAATTATTTTTAATACATTTGACCCAATAAATAAAAAATATTCTCACTTGAACATGCCATCAATATTTCAAAAATTAGCAATGTTTCGTCACACATTTTCACCCCAAACTAAGTGTTAGAAATCTGGGATGGTTTTCTACGTCTAGCACATCTCAGTTTGAATTAGCCATGTGTTACGTGCTCAGGAGCAATGTGGCTAGGGCCCCGGTACTGGAGAGCACAGCCCCACAGCACAGCGGCGGGGCTGCCGTGAACGGCGGGCAGCTTACCTTCTGGCGAGCGGCTGGGGAAGGGTTTGCTGCGGAGCGGGCAGCCACATCCCAGGCTCTGTCATGGGCTCCTCACCCTTTCCAGGAAGGAGATCTCCTTTTCCTCTCTAAAATGCTTGGTTGAGAACCCTGGTTCTATGTAATCAGCCGTGACAGAGGGGATTCCTTCTGAGAGGAGATGTGGGACAAACGCTGGCATGGGAGTCTAGGCAGCTATAAAGCAAAACTGGCGCCAGGCTGAAGAGGAGCCATCATGAGTGAGCCAGTCTACATTGATTTAAGTACATAAGGCCCGAAGCTGGGCGGGGACATGAGGAACCCCCGGTCAGGTTCAAACTTAGAATAGTCAGGGCCAGTGTGAGGTTCAATATCACAGTTGATCGTGACCAGAGAAGGGCATAAATCCAGAAGGGAGAGAACTTCAGTCAGTAGCCAACTATCCTTTCAATTCAATTTTTATATTAAAACCTTTGGCTTGCGGGAAGAAGCAAAGTGTCATTTTTCTCTCTTCCTTCATGTGTTGAAGAAGGAAAAGCACATGGCGTGAATTCTGAGACTTCTCCTGGCATTATTAATTCTACTTAGTGTGTTTTCTATTAGCCTTTATTTACCAACACCTCATAAATTTCCTCATTATTTTTTTACAAAGAACAAAAGAATGCAGAGATATTTTCTTCTCATACATGGAAAGAGTGAAACATTCTGAGCTATGTGCTTAAAATACACTTCTATTTCTCTAGAAAAAAATAATCTTTCTTAAAATGAAAAGGAAATTTGTTCTTATACAGGGCTCTACATTCTGGTGGATACGGTTCCATTCCAAAAAAACTCCTTGCCTGACACTGTTAAAATCATACAGAAAGACACCTTATTAAAATACGAAGAAAAAATTGGACAGGATCTTATTCATACCGTTTTCGGATTGCCACCATTTCTTTTCTCTATTTGGTTCAAAACTTGTAATCACATTCTCAATGGTGTGGCTGTTGGGATGGGTGTGCGGATCGTATGGAAATCTGGAGTCACAAATGAAGCATTTTTGTTCCCCCTGGAAAATGTCACCATTAAAATTTAAAATAAAGAATTGTAATTACTTATTGTTGACCTAAACTTAAAAACAAGCTGTACTTACTATATTTGTCATTCAATCTGGCTAAAAATAAACAGCAGAGGAAATAACAAGACATCAATTTTTCCATCAATAGGTGCTTAAATACAATAACAAATGAATTTAAAATACGAAAGAATTTTTATAAATTTACATATTTGGAGCAAAAATGCAAACATGTGGAACTAATTTTCTTCTCATACAAGAGGCAGATGATCTGCAGATTATTTTAAACGACAGAGAAGTAATTAGAATATACTCTTTCAGTGAAATTATTTCCTTTAGTGAAAAAAAATAAGAATATTTGCAATGAAACCAATAAAGCAGTGGACCACTAGGCTATCTGCAATCATCCTCCTCTCTCTCTCAGACACAGTTTTTGGCAGAAAAGCTTCCAATGCCAAAATCTTTGTATTACGCTTGTGGGTTTTGTAAGAGATTTTTATAAACTCACATCAGAGAGCCCCACCTCTTGTCTCACAGGCTAGAAGGTCTTTTTGGGAACTGGAACTAGTTTTGCTTGAGACATATTTTCGAAGGCTATACCGCCGAGATTGGCCTTGGAGTTTGCTTAACTGCATGTCTGCTTGTAGCTATACTCACTTAAAACTCCTAAGGAAATCTCCAGGGATTCCTGAACGATGCCAATGACCCGCACAGTTGTTCCTGGCTGATATGTGGGGCCCTGGAGGAGCATTTCTGCAAAGCTTTCAGGGAGCAGGAGCTGGATATCACAATCCCCTGTGGTGGAAATTGCCTACAACAGCGAATGCGCTGGTGAACATTGAGCTTATGTCCTGACATGGCTTACAAGGGCCTACATGACCTCACCAGGGCCACCTCCGTGCTTGTCTTCCCTGATGCACTCAGCCCTAGCTGTGCTCACTTCAGTTCTTTCCAAGAACTCTCCTGCCTTAGAATACTCACATCTTAACACAAGCTGTTCTCAGGTCAGAGAGATTTTCCTTGACTTCTAAAATTCCACCTCCTCCCACCCTATGGCCTCTGCTAGTCTCTATCCCTTACCCTGCTCTGCAATATTCTCTAAGCGCTTATCACTATTTGAGACTATATTGTATAGTCATTGGAATACTGTCTGTTGCCATCATTAGACTTTAAGATGAATGAGGGCAAGGACTTTGTTTTGGTTATGGCTGTATTCTCCTTACCTACTATAGTGTCTGGAACGTAGCAGATGTTCAATAAAATTTATTGAATGAATGCATGATGATTTTTAAAAATATCTTTTTAAAAAATTGATTTTAGAGAGAGGAAAGGAGAGAGAGAGAGAGAGAGAGAGAGAGAGAGAGAGAAACATCAACCTTCCTCTCCACCCATTCATGCACCCATTGGTTGATTCCTGCAGGTGCCCCGATCTGGGATCAAACTCACAACCGTAGCATATCGGACGATGCTCTAACCAACAGAGCGACTGGCCAGGGCTAATGTATAATGATTTTAATGACTGTCTCAGCTGTAGTCTCTAAAAATAAACCAGCCTTTCAGAACTTCCATATCACCTTTTTAGAATCACTGGCCATCATAAGCCTTCCTCTTGGAGAAAACCAAAAATGCACTTGGGAAATCGAGGAACGATGGAAACTAGATCAATTCCGCTTACGGGGAGGCTGAAAGAACAGCAGAAGCCCTGTGATTCCACCAAAAGATGTCAAGGCTTCAAAGTATTTCCAGTAATACTACACCGATTCCCGGGGGAGATGTTTACTCTCAGGGCTTGCGGGCTTCTCTTTCTGTAAACATTTCAGGAGCCTAGTCTTTGCTGAGACCGGCTGCAGGGGATGTTTCGTTGTGGTGACGAAGTGGGGGTCCTGCTTGGGTAGCACTGTGGGTCCATGAGGACTTGCAGGTTTTGGAGAGGATGCTCTGCTTGGCAGCAACTTGCCAGATCATAGATGGGAGAACAGCCCCGCCTGCGATACTTTGTCAGCCTAGAGGTATTCAGAGATTTCTTTCTAGCTCTAAGATTTTTAAGATTTCTGTGATTCTCTAGGCCAGTGGTTGGCAATCTGCGGCTCGCGAGCCACATGCGGTTCTTTGGCCCCTTGAGTGTGGCTCTTCCACAAAATACCGACTTCTGCGCATGGGCCACGAAGTTTCAATCGCACTGTACATGCGCGCCCGCACGTGGTATTTTGTGGAAGAGCCACACTTAAGGGGCCAAAGAGCTGCATGTGGCTCGCGAGCCGCAGTTTGCCGACCACTGCTCTAGGCCAAAAAAAAAAAAGCCTCTGAAGTTTGATTTTTTTTTTATTTCTCTCTGTTTTTGGTTGAGTGAAATGAAGATGTAGGAATATGACTTTCTGGTTATTGTCTGAGTAAATCATGAGTTGGCTATGACCATAGGAAGTAAATGCCAGTGGCAGAAGAACAAGATGGCTGGCGTCTGGGTTGGAGTCATCCCTCCCACCTGGCCTAGAGTTGAGCAACCCTTCTCCAGGGTCATTTCCTCGCACATGTAGAGAATTTGCTTCCTGACACAAGTACTTCCCAAACTTAGAACAGCGCTAAGCTCTCAGGTAGTGTCTCCACTTATTTATAATCATCCCCTTTTACTAGAAACCAATTAGAATACAAAGCATTTCCCAGAGGCCTCCAGGAGATGCCTTAAAGAACAATACGTGGAAAAGCCTGGGCCATCGACATTAGGCCTGTGTCCAACTTCCTTCCTGAACATCCTCTCACTGAAGGACCGACGTGACCGCCTCGGGGTTTTCAGCAGGTACGATGCATAGATGACCTTGGATACTTGTGCTGCTCCCAGAATACAGGGAGGAAAAGGACTGCAAGGCAACTTGTCCTTTTAATAAACTGGTCTCTAAGAGAAAAAAGGCCCCAAATGTATTCACAGAGGGATACTATAGGCAAGGCAGTTACCAAGTGGCTTGTGAGGCTGCACAGTGGATTCCAAGCTGTGCCCCGCTATCTCTAGGGCCCGGCCATGAGAACTCATGTTTAGAAGAATGGCCTTGAGGCCCTGAGGGGTCCTCAAGCTTCACTGCGTCAATCAATTATGCTTACTCCCCGGGGTCACGAAGGCAGCCACGTTGCATAGTAATTCCCTTCAAAGACTGAACTGAAAAGACTTTTCTGTCTAATCCTACAGGTTACAAGAAATAGATGAAGCAGATCTTCCCTATTTTCTAATCTATCAAGGTTTCCTGGCTTTGAGTTGTGTCTCCTGTGTCTCTGATGTTCTGAAAGGAATGGTGTCTCTTTCACTGTTGTCTGAGCAGCCCCAGAGGTACCTGGAAGAATCTACATCATTGATTAAATAGCGGCCCAACAAATAAACAAAGAACCAACCCACCTCCAGGTAGCTGAGGATGCAGTATTTCTGGGCTCCATCCAGCCCACAGGTAGACGAAGCCGTGAGCTGTGTGCTGCGTCCCACTAGGAGATTGCCGGTGGGGGGATGACAGGCACCCCTGTTGCATTTATCTTCAGCTTTTGCATAACTGAGCCACCCTTGAACACAACAGAAACAGCTACTTAGAAAGGGGAGCAGAAGGGTTAAAGAAGCAACTGGCTAAGTTGGAAAAGTTAACCTATTTTTAGTACCAGTTCTGTTGATCATTAAGACCCTTGTCCTGTATGTTGTTGGGGCCCTCGGTCTGATGGAAATCTCTTAGCCTGTGGGGTTATACCACCTGCATTCATGTCCCCACCTGGGCCATCCCGCAGCCAATGAACGATAAATGCTTACTTCGAAGGCTGGCTCCATTGCACTTCACTGTGCAGATTATGTTCAGAACCTCTCCCTGGGAGGAGGCTGGAGCCTGCCTCCAGCTGGGACCATATCCGACTTCACTTCCCTCTCCCTTATTCCTCTGAGCATCCCTCAGTAAACCACACAAATCTCCCTTTCAGGCTTTGCTTCTAAGAAGCCGATCTGGGACAGCTTCTCTGGACTGGGAATTCTCCATGTGTCATTGCAGGGCAAAAAACAGACATGAGGAGCGAGAATCCTAATTCTGCCTCTTAGACCTGTTGTTTCAACCTGTACCAAATTAACCAGAGAGTTTAAGAAATCCTTGGAAAATAATTTTCTCCTAAAATGTGTGTAAGTTCAACAGATCTTTTTAAAAATATATATATATTTTTAATTTATTTTAGAGAGGAAGGGAGAGGGAGAGATAGAAACATCAATGATGAGAGAGGATCATTGATTGGCTGCCTCCTGCATGCCTCCCACTGGGGATCGAGCCCACAACCTGGGCTTGTGCCCTGATCAGAATCGAACCCAGGACCCTTCAGTCCAAAGGCTGACACTCTATCCACTGAGCCAAACCGTCCAGGGCCAATTGATCCTTTTAATAATATGGATTGCTGGGCTCAGATGAGCCCTGGAACAATTGATTCCCCTTGGGGTTTCAGTCTGTATAGCCCATGCAGGCCTTCAGACCTGCTGTCCAACAGATCTGTCTGGAAGGCATTTGGTCACAAGAGATACAAGATGATTGCAAGAGCAACTCTATCTCAATTGTCACCTCAAGTCTCTACTTTTCATGCACAGCCTCTGAGATAACATTCTTAATTCTCAGTTTACAAACTATTTTTAAAGTTCTATTTGTTTCAAAATGTTAAATTTCGAGTTAAAATAACTGTTAAATCTCTCCATGTAAATGAGGGGTGGGTAGAATAATCCTAACTCTTTCCTGCCTGCTGGTTCTTGCCCAGGGTTTGCTCTATTATGTTCAACTTACACTTTTGTAACCCATACATATGAATAGATTAGTTTATTGTTGGGAAGACTGAAGAAAACAAAGTAGAACTTCCTGGGGCTAAGTTCTAAGGTTAACACACATATAAAGTTAAATGCAAATCCAATGTGAGTCGACTGTAATATTTTATTGATAGCTATTTATAGACATAGTTCTATTTTTTCTTTTAAAAGTATATTTGAACAAGACAGTATAGTATCTTTTTAAATTTAATGAAAGGGTTAAAATTCTGTTTTGAGTCTCAAGGCCCAAACCCAGGCACTAGTTTTCTCCTGATGACAGTTCGAATTATAGACATGATAATTTTGAAGGAATAAAATAGATGGAAAGATACAGGACCCAGAATTACTTGATATTAAAGCTACAGTAAACAAGAGAGTAATATTGGTGGAGGAATAGGCCCATAGATCAACAGAACAGATAATCCAGAAATAGATGCACACAAAAAGGCTGAACTGATTTTTGAGGTGCAAAGGTAATTAATGAAGGAAGGATAACCTTTTCAACAGATAGTGATGAATATTGGGCACTCATAGGCAAAAAATAAACTGTAGCCCAAACCTCATGACTTATACAAATATTAACACGAAATGGATCATGGATTTAAGTGTAAAATATCCTATATAATAAAAGTCCAGTGACTGAACAGCAGAACAACCAGAATGACCAGTTGACCAGTAACTATGATGCGCACTGACCACCAGGGGTCAGACGCTCAATGCAGGAGCTGCCCCTGGTGGTCAGTGTGTTCCCACAGTGGGAGCAGCCACTCGGAGGGTGGGTCCACAGCCGCTGGGCTGACCAGGATGAGTGGCGCTCCCACAGCGGGCTGATTCCTGCAGGCCACACCCCCCACCAGTGCACGAATCCCATGTACCGAGCCTCTAGTAAATCTATAAAGCTACAAAACTTCTATGGCATGTAAGAGAAAATCTTTGGGACTTAGGGCTAGGCAAAGAATTATTAGAACTGACAATAAAGCCATGATCTATGTAGAGAAAAATTGATAAATTGGACCTCATCAAAATGAGAAACTTCATGAAGTAAAAAGGCAAGCTGCAGACTCGGAGAATATAATTGCAAATCACGAATCTGACAAAGGTGTTGACCTAGAATATGTAAAGTGCTCTCCAAATTCAACATTAGGAAACCAACCAACTAGAAAATGGCAAGTGGCACAAGGAGACATTTCACTGAAGAAGATAAACAGATGGCAAATACGCCCTAAAAAGATGTTCAACCTCATTAGCCATTAGGGAAATGCAAATCAAAGCCACAATAAGATAGCACTACATACCTATCAGAATGGGTAAAATAAAAAAAGTAGCAGTAACACTAGATGCTGGAGAGGATGTGGGAAAACTGGCTGACGCATACACTGCTAGTGGGAATGTAAATGGCACAGCCACTCGGGGAAAGTATGGAGGTTTCTTATAAAGTTAAGCGTGTGCTTATCATACAGTCCAGCAGTTGCACTCCCAGAGAAATGAACATTTATGTTTACACAAAAAACTATGTACAAATATCCATGGCATCTTTGCTTATAATAGTAAAAAAAACTGGAAACAACCCAGATTTACTTCAATAGGTGGATGGTTAAGCAAAATGTGGTATATCCATACCATGGAATAGTACTTAGCAATAAAAAGGAGTGAAAATCACTGAAATATGCAAAAGAGTTACATTGAGTGAAAAAGGCCAATCTCAGATGGTTCTATACTCCATAATTCAATTTCTTGAACGACAAAATTGTAGAGATGGAGAGTAGATTGTCAGGGGGTTGGGGAGGCAGGAAGGGATGTGGGGGTGGAGATAAAGGGGTAGTACTAGGGATCCTTAAGAGGATGGAACTGTTTGGTATCTTAACTCTGGTGGTGAATACAGGAACCTACACATGTGATAAACACACACACACACACACACACAAATGAGTGTATGTAAAACTGGTGAAATTTGAATAAGGTCAATGGACTATATATCAATGTCAATTTTCTGGTTAGGATATTATACAACAGTTATGCAAGATGGGGGAAATTGGGTGAAAGGTATGTGGGATATCTCTGTATTATTTCTTACAACTGCATGAGAACCTGCAATGATCTCAAAATGAAAAGTAAAAAACCCAAACAATTCTCTCTTTCCTCAAAATCACCCCACCAGCCTCTGGATGGTGAATCAAGTAAACCCCTGTCCCAGCTGCTCTTATGTACTTTTCCCCTGAGACCTTTTATGCCAAGACCTGATTTCAATAGACAGGAGTGAGAGGATTGGCCTAAAATGATAAAAAAAATTACCGTACTATGAACTAAGCTGGTTTCTTCTCAGTTTTCTCAATTGTAAAAATAAATAATTTTTTATTTACTTGTTTTATATATAATGGATTTCTTTCCTTCAACTTTTCCTCCAAAAATACAGACTTCTGAAAAATAATTTATTTCTCTTATGCATACATTTCCCACATGAAGCATTCTTTTAATCTGGTTATTTGTTATTATTATTATCAGTCTGTAAACATACATAGATCATAGTTCTACAGTTAAGAATATGATACATAATATCTACTTCCCCGCAGGTTACCAAATATCAGTTTGAATAGGGTATTTTCTATCTTCAATCTCATGGCAAAGATTATTCTTCTAAAACAAAGGCCCAACATTTCTTTCTCTTTCTTTGAGATAGAAGCATGAAGAAACAGTCCAACATGCAGTTTTTATTTCATTGTATGATAAATGATCTTAGATTGGTTAACATGAATTTATCTTTAATTCACCCAATAATCCAAATGGAGATCTCCATTTATTCCTAGAATTGGCATCCAGGACAAATAACTAATTAGAATTTGGGATTCCAATAGAGGCTTTTTGAAACAAGGTCAGGCATAAAATCTCTGCTAATGCTACATGTGGATTAACGAAGACTTCCCTTTAGGGTTTTATTCCTTTAGACAAGTTCCATCCTGAAGTCTTTTATTGGAATCGTTGCCTTAGAGATTTAACCTGCTTTTATAACCTAACTTGGCCAAACTTGTCTTATTCAGATGTGTACTTTTCTGAAATAAGCATACTCTGGGACTTAGCTAACCATTATTCATGTAATATGCTTAGTGCAAATGTGAACTTATGGTCTAAATACTTGGCAAAAAGTGGCCTGAAACATAAGAAGTTAAGGCTTCATGCCTGGAGCTAAACTGAGCAATATCCTCCCTGGGCTAGAGATTCCAGCTGCCAGATTATTACATTGGTAATTATTACACCGGAACTAATTCAACAAAGATCAAGAATAAAGATGTTTATGTCTTTAGAAAATCAACGTTTTCCTAAAAAAATGACACACAACTTAAAGATAGAAACTTACTAAGAATGAATGTAGACCTGGTCATTTAGAGAAAATGCACAGCAAATTTTCTGTAAAACAAAGGATCACTTTGCAGAAATAACCATTATTATATAACCTCTCAGTAATTTTGTATATTGCTGTAATTTTCTGAAACACGTAAGATGTTTTCATGTACCTTGGAGTGCACTTCATAGTTTTAGAGGCTGTAAACATACATTGATGTACTCACACGCATTACTTATATGGGTAAGGAAAAGTCCAAAGAATGCACAGTAGATGAGGTTTGCACTTTGCATCCCGTTCCCCAAACCTGGGGCCAGTGCATGTTTTAGGATTCTTTTCTTCTTGTTTTCCTTAGTCAGAACGCAAGACGAAGTGTTCAGACAGGCTCCGGTGTTTATATGAAAGCCTAGAGTTAAACCGGAAAGCGCCCAAGCTGATGATGTGGGTTAACCTGGTTTATGGTTTGACCATAGGCAAACCTAGACATTTGGGTTAGATCAGGGTGCCTTGGATTTAGAAATCCAGGTTGTATTGCAGCTCAGACTTTTCTGCTAATTTAGTTTTGAAGACCTTTCCTCCAGAGAGGGGGAGCTCCTTGAGGAGGACTCTGAGCGAGGGGTAAGTCACACACTATCGAGGCTGGGGAGAAGGCACAGTCATCTTCAGTGGTTGCTTCTCATTTTGAATGGTGGTTTCATCCCAAAGAGAACATCCAAGCCAGCTGTAGATGAGACAACTCTTCTCTGACTACCTGAGGCCAGGTCTGAGCTTTAGAGTCCTGGGGGTGCAGCCCAACACACCTTGTTCCTTCCCACTAGCTTGTGACTCACCTCTCTGAGGCAGGGAATTTTCAACAGAGAACAAACTAGCATTTCCCTTCTAGAGCTATTCTTTCCTCCACAATCAGGAAATCTAATTGGGAAATTGCCTTGGGGTTTAAAAATTGCAAAATTAAAAGATGAGATTCATTTTTAAAAATTCTTTTTATTTTTTTTTAATTTATTGATTAAGGCAGCGGTTCTCAACCCATGGGTCGCGACCCCTTTGGCGGTCGAATGACCCTTTCACAGGGATCGCCTAAGACCATCCTGCATATCAGATATTTACATTATGATTCATAACAGTAACAACATTACAGTTATGAACTAGCAATGAAAATAATTTTATGGTTGGGTCACAACATGAGGAACTGTATTTAAAGGGCCAGAAGGTTGAGAACCACTGGATGAAGATATCACATATGTGTTCTTATCCCCCCATTACCCCCCCCCCCCCACTCATGCCCTCAGTCCCCTGTTGTCTGTGTCCATTGGATAGGCTTACATGCATGCATACAAGTCCTTTGGTTGATCTCTCCCCCTTACCCCTACCCTCTCCTACTTTCCCTCTGAGGTTTGACAGTCTGATTGATGCTTCTCTGTCTCTGAATCTGTTTTTGTTCATCAGTTTATGTTGTTCATTAAATTCCATAAATGAGTGAGATCATGTGATATTTATCTTTCTCTGACTGGCTTATTTCGCTTAGCATAGTGCTCTCCAGGTATATCCATGCTGTTGCAAATGGTAAGAATTCCTTCTTTTTTACTGCAGCGTAGTATTCCATTGTGTAGATGTACCACAGTGTTTTAATCCACTCATCTGCTGATGGGCACTTAGGCTGTTTCCAAATCTTAGCTATGGTGAATTATGCCGCTATTATATCCTTTCTGATTGGTGTTTCTAGTTTCTTGGAATATATATTCCTAGAAGTGGGATCACTGGGTCAAATGGGAGTTCCATTTTTAGTTTTTTTGAGGGAACCCCATACTGTTTTCCACAGTGGCTGCACCAATCTGCATTCCCACCAGCAGTGCACGAGGGTTCCTTTTTCTCTGCATCCTTGCCAGCACTTGTCGTTTGTTGATTTGTTGATGATAGCCATTCTGACATGTGTGAGATGGTACCACATTGTCATTTTGATTTGCATCTCTCAGATAATTAGTGACTTTGAGCATGTTTTCATATGTCTCTTGGCCTTCCTTATGTCTTCTTTCGAAAGGTATCTATTTACTATGTATTTACCATTGCACCAAAAAAATTAAGATACCTAGGAATAAACTTAACTAAGGAGGTAAAAGACCTATGTGCAAAAAACTACAGGACACTGAAAAAAGAGATAGAGGAAGACATAAACAGATGGAAGAACATACTGTGTTCATGGATTGGTAGAATCAACATCATTAAAATGTCCATACTACCCAAAGCAATCTGTAGATTCAATGAACTCCCCATTAAAATACCAATGGCATATTTCACAGACCTAGAACAAACTTTTCAAAAATTCATCTCGAATAAGAAAGGACCCCGAATAGCTGCAGCAATCCTGAGAAAGAAGAACAAAGTAAGTGGGATCTCAATACCAGATATCAAGCTGTATTACAAAGCCACTGTTCTCAAAACAGTCTGGTACTGGCACAAGAACAGACATATAGACCAATGGAATAGAATAGAGCAGTGATGGTGAACCTTTTGAGCTCAGCGTGTCAGCATTTTGAAAAACCCCAACTTAACTCTGGTGCTGTGTCACATATAGAAATTTTTTGATATTTGCAACCATAGTAAAACAAAGACTTACATTTTTGATATTTATTTTATATATTTAAATGCCATTTAACAAAGAAAAATCAACCAAAAAAATGAGTTCGCGTGTCACCTCTGACACGCGTGTCATATGTTCGCCATCACTGGAATAGAGAACCCAGAAATCGACCCAAACCAATATGCTCAATTAATATTTGACAAAGGAGACATGAACATACAATGGAGACAAGACAGTCTCTTCAATAAACCGTGTTGGGAAAATTGGACAGATACATGCAAAAAAATGAAACTAGACCACCAACTTACACCATACACAAAAATCAACTCAAAATGGATAAAAGACTTAAAAATACTAGAGGAATCCACAGGCAGCAAAATCTCAGACATATACCAAAGCAATTTCTTCACCGATACAGCTCCTAGGGCAGTGGTTCTCAACCTTCTTAATGCCGCGACCCTTTAATACAGTTCCTTGTGTTGTGGTGACCCCCAATTTCATTATTACAAATTGAACATAATTAAAGCATAGTGATTAATCACAAAACAATATGTAATTATATATGTGTTTTCTGATGGTCTTAGGGGACCCCTGTGAAAGGGTCGTTCAACCCCCAAAGGGGTCGCGACCCACAGGTTGAGAACCGCTGTCCTAGGGCAACGGAAACTAATAAGAAAATAAACAAATGGGACTACATCAAAATAAAAAGCTTTTGCACAGCAAAAGAAACCTTCAACAAAACAACAAGAAAGCCCACTGCATGGGAGAACATATTTGCCAATGTTATCACTGATAAGGGTTTAATCTCCAACATTTACAGAGAACTCATACAACTTAACAAAAGGAAGATAAACAACACAATCAAAAGACAAGATTCTTAAACTTAGCTGCCATGAAGAGATTCAGTATGAATCTTTCAAGAAAAGATTATAAGCAAGTTAGTTATTACTCAGGAACCAAAAGCAGGTCTGTTATAGACAGAAAAGTCCGGATCAAAGAGAGAAATTGTTGGAAACATCTTTTCTATGACTAATGTAAATTATTCTCAGCGTATTAAAAATAGCACAGACATAGAGAATTTGGCCTTTTAGCTCAGAGCTGTTGCTTATTCAGAAGAGAGAATTTTGCGTATAAGCTCTTCATGAGACCACATCACTGGGACAAGTGCTACATTCAAAGCAGAGCTATTTTTAAAAATTGAAATGCATTGTAGTTGCAAATTATGAATCTGAAAGTATTGTGCTTTCTTTAATATCTTACTTTATCTTCTGAGGCTAATCTTCCATGAAAGAGTGATAGAAATAAGTATGTGTGGATACTAAACATATTTGAGAGAAATTTTTTAGTTGCTTGACAATTATACAACAGAAGAGCTATGCAAATATATAGCAGTATAGAAAAAAGGTGAATATGTTTAAAAACTATTTCCATTAAATATTTTAGAACAATTTAATACAAGCCGAACACTGATTTTTGGCAATACTCACCAAGGTGCAAAAGAAAGGTCAGTTGAAATTGCATTCTTTTGTCAGGAAATGATTAAATACAATTCTGCTGGGTTAAAAAAAAAAAAAGGAGGTTAAATCAGTCACTGATAAACTCAATTAATTGCATCAATTATAAATGATTTGAAAAATTATCTGATGGTTCTTATCCTTTAGGGACACAAAATACCTATAGTGCCCAAGATGTTAAAAAATAAGAGTATTTAGCCCTAGTCAGTTTGGCTCAGTGGATAGAGGGGTCTTAGATTCAATTCTGGTCAAAGGCAATACCTGGCCCTGACCACAGCATGTGGAAGGCAGCCAATTGGTACGTCTCTCTCACATCAATGTTTCTCTCTCTCTATCTCTCCCCCTTCCTTCCACTCTCTAAAAATCAATGGAAAAATATCCTCAGGTGAGGATTAACAACAACAACAAAAAAGAATACATACAAGTTTTACAAATATTTGTTTTCTATTTTGAAATCACAAGATGCAATCATTTGTGGGAAATAATATGGAACAAATATAATTTCCTTTGCATATTTTTATTTTAACTGACTTTTGCCCATCTTATTATCTAGAAAAAATTTAAATTATGCAATTAATATGCATTCATTATTGAAAACAGAAAATTCAGACAGTCAAAATAAAAGAATTATTATCCATAGCCCTACCACCTAGAGAAAAGTGGTTAATATCTTGCTACATGTTCTTCCATACTTTTTTCTTGCATATAAATGTTTTCTAAAAATGATATCATATGTATCTTTCAATCAATATACCCTACACATCTTTTCGTACCAGGAATATATTTTCACATAAGCAATTTTCAGCCTAGCGGGGCATCAGAATCACCTGGGGGCTTCCACCAACCAAACCGGTGACCCCTTTGTGGATTCAGCCAGCCCCTCTGGACAGAGCGCTCCCCAAGTCACTGTTGTGGGAGCCCTGACATGGATGAAAGTGTACGTGCATCTCAGTGGGTTGGAAGGAGAGAAGGTAAAATGTTCCTCTGCGTTGGTTTTAAATGACTGAATAGTATTCCTCTGAATCAAAATCTCTTTAACAAATCCCCTAGTGGTTGATGTGTACCTTGCTTCCAATATTTTCCTGTTATAAATATTTTTGCTAAGTCTTTGTTTATATCCGTAATTATTCCCCAGCATATATTAAATGGAGTGGAAATAATGAATCAAACAGCATGTGTGTATACAGACATATATATGCATACATAAAGAGTACACACACATATGCATATATACATGTGTACATATGTGTGTGTATGCGGTGTGTGTACAGCTTTGGATGTTCAAACTGCCATTCAGTTTGTCCAGAAAGTTTGTCCCATTTTAGATTCTCATCAACAGCCTATGGGAACAGCTGTTGACCTGAGCCCTTACCAATATTGAGTATTATGAATTTTTAAATATTTATCAATTTAAAAAGCAAAAAATTGTACCTTATCATTATTTTAATGTATTTATATGAATGGTAGTGAGTATAAAAATATTTTTCATGTATTTACATGTGAGAATTATTTTTGACATTCTAGCCTTCAAGGCCTGTCCTAATAAATTGTTTATCTTATTAATCCCACATCTTTATCCCTCTGACCTCACATTCCCTGAACTCTAGCATTAGGACACCACCTTCTACTTGTTGCACCCTCCTCTCATGCCCTTTGCCTTGAATGCCACCCTCCTAAACTCAAATGCCAGCCTCCTTACGAAGTCCTTTAGACAGTATTCTGAAATGCCCGATTTTAGACGACTTTCCCACTCTGTGATCCAAGTTCACACAGCCTGGGGTGCATTCTAGATGTCCAATGTCATAAGACAATGACCGAGCCGAAACCGGTTTGGCTCAGTGGATAGAGCGTCAGCCTGCGGACTGAAGGGTCCCAGGTTCGATTCCGGTCAAGGGCATGTACCTGGGTTGCGGGCACATCCCCAGTGGGAGATGTGCAGGAGGCAGCTGGTCGATGTTTCTCTCTCATCGATGTTTCTAACTCTCTATCTCTCTCCCTTCCTCTCTGTAAAAAATCAATAAAATATATTTTAAAAAAAATAATAAGACAATGACCGAGTGAGAAGCAGCCCTCCGGAAGCAACTCCAGCTGAAAGTGAGCTCTATCTGTTCTAAAAATCTGCGATTTTGGTATAATAACCGCATACAAAACCTAGTGAAGACCTATAGGGAGTCCAGATGGAGCCTTAGGAAGTCCGCTCTGTGTGGGCCACCTGACCCGGAGCACTTTTTCTAGGTGGAAGATTCTTGTTGCCTTTTCCTCAGTCAGAGCATGTGGCTTCGGTCAATTGCCCAGCTACACGCTTGGTAGCATGAAATCTCAAATCCTGATGTTGTTCTGGACTCAGAACTCCTGCCTGCATGCTACATGCCTTCCTTGTTAGAGTTGAAAAATATTGTATGCTATGTACCTGGGGAGATGTTTCAACTACCAATGCTCAGGCCCATCCCAGACCAATTCAATCAGTATCGCTGGGGGTGGGACCCAAATGTCAATGTGTTTAAGATGCTCCCCAGAGGATTCTAATGTGGAGCCAGGGTTGAGAACCACCGATGGCTCACAAACACCTAAACCTCATTAACTTGCCCAATATGCCTGCTCTTCTCCTGGATTCCATTCTAAGGGAAGAGCATAATCCAGTGGTTCCCAAACTTTGCTGCACATTAGAATCACCCGGGGAGATTTAAACACCCTGCTGATCAGGTACATTCATACCAATTAAATCAGAATACCTGGACGTGAGGTCCTGGCATCAGCATGTTCTAAAGATTCCAGGTGATTCCATATGTAACAAAGTTTGGGAATCCACTGTCATTACCGTGGATCAATGTGCTTAGGCCAGAAACTTGAGGGTCATTTTTTATTCCTCCTCCTCTCACGCTTCAAATCTAAATTTGTTCTTGTCTCAGTGATTCTTAAAGTGTGATTCATGGACTTAGTAAGGTGACAAGTGTTTTCAGGGATGTTTTTGGTTGGACAGTTCCCGGGGCCTGGGAATCTCCCTGAGTCCTGGGCCAACCCAGAGATTGGTCCCCCGACGGGACCAGCAGCAGCAGAGTCACCTGGGAACTTGTTAGAAATGCAAATTATCCTGATGTTGTCCTGGATTCATATGTGGAATCTAATGAACAAAATAAACTGATGGACAAAATAGATCCAGAGACATAGAAGCATGGAACAGACTGCAGGGTCTCAGAGAGGAGGCAGGGGTAGATGGGTGAGAAGAGATAAACCCAGGGGGTGGGAGTGGGCTGAAGGGGCCAATGGGGGGGGGGGACATATGTAATACTTTCAACAATAAAGATTATTTTTTAAAAAATGCAAATTACCAAACTCCAGCTTTCTTTTTTTCCTCTCTATTTTCATAAAATATATTTTTCCATCACTTTACATTTAGTCTGTGTGTATCTTTCATTCTGAGGTGGGTCTCTTGCAGACAGCATATATATGGGCCTTGTTTTCTTATCCTTTCAGCTACCTATGTCTTTTGATGGGAGCATTTAAGCTATTTACAATTTAAAATGATTTACTGATAGGTATGTACTTATTGCCATTTTATTTTTTTAACTATTTCCTCTATTTGTTTCTCCTCCTCCTCCTCTTTTTCCTCCTCCTCCTCTTTTTCCTCCTCCTCCCCTTCCTCCTCCTCCCCTTCCTCCTCCTCCTCCTCCTCCTCCTCCTCCTCCTCCTCCTCCTCCTCTTTTTCCAAGCCCTTTAACATTTTTTTATAATCCTGATTTGTTGATAACAAACTACTATCATTTTTTCTTGTCTGGAAAGTTCTTTATTTCTCTTTCAATTTTAAATGATAGTTTAAGGTGGGTAAAATAGCCTTGGTCATAGGTCATTGCTTTTCATCACTTTAAATATTTCATGCTAATCCCTTCTGGCCTGAAATGTTTCTGTTGAAAAGTCAGGTGACAGTCTTATGGAAGCTCTCTTGTAAGTAACTAATTGACTTTCTCTTGCGTTTAAGATTCTCGCTTTGTCTTTAACCTTGGGCATTTAATATGTTTATTTTTTATTTTAATTTTTAAAAAATCTTTATTGTTGAAAACATTACATAGGTCTACCTTTCCCCCCTTATTAACTTCTTCCAGCCTGCTCCTATCACCCCTCTGCCCCCCAGGGCCTCACCACTCCATTGTCTGTGTCCACATGTTATGCATATATGCATACAGGTTCACTGGTTGACCTCTTTCCACCTACCCTGCCCTGCCTTCCCTCTGAGGTTCAACAATCTGTTCCTGCTTCTATGTCTCTGGGTCTATTTTTGATAAAAAAAAACACCTTGGATATTTTAATTATGATGTGTCTTGATGTGGGCCTCTTTGGGTCCATCTTGTTTGGGACTCTGCTTCCTGGACTTGTGTGTCTTTCACCAGGTTAAGGAAGATTTTACTCATTAGTTCTCTATTCCTTGCTCTCTCTCTTCTCCTTCTGGTACCCCTATGATGCAGATGTTATTATACTTCATGTTATCCAAAATTTTCCTTAAACTAGCCTCATTTTTAAAATTATTTTTTCTCTTTGCTGCTCTGATTGGGTATTTTTTTTCTATCTTGTTTTCTAAATTGATGGTTTGATCCTCCCCTTCATCCAACCTACTTTCACAGTATATGGGTACCAGAGAAGAAGAGAGAGAGCAAGATATTGAAAACCTATTTGAAGAAATAATGACAGAAAACTTAAATAGTTTACAAGTCCAGAAAGTACAGAGAGTCCAAAACAAAGAGGAACCCAAAGAGGCCACACCAAGACACACCATAATGAAAATGCCAAGGGTTAAAGACAAAGAGAGAGAATCTTAAAAGCAGCAAGAGAAAAGCAGTTAGTTATCTCTAAGGAAGAGCCCATACAACTCTCAGCCAATTTCTCTCAGAAACTTTGCAGGCCAGAGGGAGTGGCAAGAAATATTCAAAGTGATGAATAGCAAGGACCTACATCCAAGATTACTCTACCCAGCAAAGCTATTATTTAAAATTGAAGGTCAGATAAAAAGCTTCACAGACAAGAAAAAGCTA